ACTCTTTCCTAAGTCTACAACTCAGGTTAGCAAGTTTCTTTACACAGAATTGTATTAAAAGTAACCAAATATCACAGAGTTGTGTCAAACTTCACAGCAACTTGAATCTGAAAAGTCCAATCTTTTAGGACCTTCCTTGGCACATGTCATGGGGTTTCTTAAACGGTAGTCCCATGATACACAAGGTGTATATATATATATATATGTATGAGCACTGGCCATTAGAAATTCTGTATTTAGATCATGATATGTATCTTGAAATACTATGCTTTCCACCTCCCAGTCTGCACATCCTAACATGACTCTGGGCATTTTGCAGGGACGCTCTTTGCTCATTAGTCTATCACTAGCTTGCTCATCAGTTACTCCTTCAAACTCCTCACATTTTCAGTAGTACAACTACAATTTAATTTCATATATTTCAGTGTATCACTTTCCTCTCTGCACTTCATCCGTAAAGATGGCACTATCTGAATTACGCTTAGGTGCTTATTGGTTCCTAACAACATTACACGGTGTTTACAGGGCACAGAAGCACACATCATTCAGAACTTGTAGCCACAATGTGTGTTTATACATGTTGAATATGAAAAATGCACACTATATAAACAAGATAACTACTATCTGGACATACTCCTTACAAGGAACATGAAAGCAGACTGACATCACATTTTTGCAGGTTATTGCTTTGCTCAGTAAGAGTTGCACTCCTCTGTATTTGAAGATCAATATCTCTGTGGCATTTATGAAAAATATTACGCTAGCTGTAGAAAAAACATAACCTTCACAATAAAAGTAGTATAGTATCCTTCTCTAATCCATAAGCTTTTTCCCTATTTTTCCTCTGCTGAGTCACTCTTATGCCAGATGCCAGCTGATATATCCTCATTCTCCAGACAGCAGAATTACTCTGGCTTTTCAACTGCACAACTACCAAGTGGCTAGAGAGGTATACAGTACTGAGGATTGATTAGCAGAGATAATATGTTGACATATTAAACCCAGGTGCATTTTCATAACAAACCAAGGATGGAAAAAGCTAGGATTTATCAAATAGACTTCTCTGATATCGTCCCATTATTCTACAACTGAAACAAAACAAGAATGGGGAACCCACTACTTATCAGTGCCACAAGTGGAGACTAAGCAACACATTCAAACACTGAAATATGGCCTTTAAGTTGACAGATGGCAGCTACACTAGCTCATGTTCTTTTGATTACAGTCTAGGGACAGTGACTCCTCAGTTTGTATTCAAATATTTTATCAACAATTTATATCTATTTGATATCAACTTGACCAGAGCTAAAAAGGTTTCTTGAGTACCAACATATTTGTGCAAAGTTAAAAGGATTTTACGGACAATACCAACTTCTCTAACATGCTAGAATAAGGGTATTTTACAAATTCTTAAAGCCTCTCCAGAGATCTCTGAGAACCATCCTGTATTAATACCCTTTTGAAAGGATGTATCTTCCTTTCACAGACAAGCACAGGATGTTTTGGTGACCCAGTCACAAAACAAGCCAAGAACAAGCTAAGAAGTGATATTAGAAGCCCATTCATTCTGCTGGAACAAACAAGACAGAATCTTGATCTGAAACCCTAAGACCAGCTGAGTAGCTGTCTACATTGTAAAATGCTGGAAAAGGATGAACTCAGGTTCCCATGTCTCTTAAAAGTGATTTTAAATTTCCTATCACTAGGCAGCTTAGTATGCTTGAAATTCTTACCTGTAAGTTTCAATTTCCAGAATGAGACCAGCTTTCACTTGCAGTAGTTCTTGATAGTCCTTCAGGTAATCTGTGATCGACATGGTCAGGAACTGTTTTTCTTCTTCTAGGGCATCAATTATCCGCTAGAAAGAAATATCACCTTTTAGTTTTGAAGAAGCAAAAAAAAAAATCACACTTGAATGCCTAGCAATTTAAAAGTTTTAATTAATAAAAATCTGAAAGAGCAATAAATCAAAATATTCTATCTTTTCAATAAAAAAAAATACTCTAGGACCTCCACATATACAACTTGTAATACATTGTTGCTGAAGGGACTGAGGATCAGAAAAACACCAGAGTCGAAAGTCACCCAAATGTGCAAGTACACTGAAATGCTAGATGGAGCACCGAATAACTGTGCACAACAGCAATAGCAAGGTCACAAGACAGAACATTAAGATCTAACTTAGACCAAGACAACTGACTGTCCTGCTCTCCGAAAGAACATCACAGAATCCAAGTGCTCTAATCCCTGGGGTTACCTCGCACACAAAGGGGAAATTTGCAGCTCCAGAAAACACGTCCTCCCCGGGCATTTGCTCAGCACAGACTCAGAACTGGGAATAGCAGAGTTACCTCCCAAGCTGTCCTTAACAGATACAATCTAGTAATAGCAACCAACCCACCCCAACTCAGATATTAACTAAGACACAGCAGGGGACTCAACACCAATGTGATATTTAATAGTTGTTTTCTTTATTTTTTTAATAATAAGAGCAAAATGACAGCACTATGAGGAAGCTGCTTATAGTTGCTTTGATGTCTTCTTTTATCTATTCCTCTCCACAATACATGCATTCATCTCTCTATTTGCACTCGCAGCTGTTGCTATATGATTACGCTGATATTGAAGCATTCGTGAAAACTCCCATTTTATGGCAAAAGACAAATCATATCTACAGCTCTGCCACAGCACCGTCAGCTATGAACAGCCTTCTGCAGAGTAGAGAGGAGCGTCTTGCATCGTCACGCAGGAACCTCTGACCTTTAGCAGCTCCGAGGCAACAGTCCTGCCCAAGCTCTGACACAATGGAAAAAAACAAGGCAAGAAGGGGAGAAGGAAAGTGCCAGGCCCTGCTTTTAAAGGGAACAGGCTATCTAAGGAGAATGGGCAGGCTGCTGCCAAGACCAGGAGACCTGGCAAAAGGGGCAAAAGACACAAAAAAAGAGAGGATTTGTAAAGGACCAGTCCCTAAAGGATTCCAAAGATGATCAGAACTCTGATGTAAAGCATGAAGTGATTTAGGTATTTTTTATCTCCCCATTAAACATACAAATTCCATAAACTGACAGTACAGTGCATATGTGCATGGATATATGTTGAGTTTCACAATGCACAAGACTTGCCACAGGGATGGAAAGAAATCTATACAGTGAGTCTGTATGCTGGACTAAACAAGGTCGTGGAGCTCTGAAAGACTCAGGATATTCAAGTCTATCTTAAGACCATGAACTTTAGTCCCCCATCCTCTCAGGTCTAAAGCCTAATTGCAGAATCAGGCTGTGAAAAGTTACCTAGATGTCATCCACTGGATTTGGAAAGCACGTGGGATCCAAGAGCCTGAGTTAAATACAGCATCCTAATGATTACCATAAGGGGATGCAGAACTCGGCCAGCTGTGTAACATTTCCAGAGGAACTCATTCCACCAGGGCAGACGTTGTATAGACTGGATGGCAGACAGCCACCCATGCAGCCCTCCAGTTACTGACATTTAAACATACTGCAGAGGACAACTGGTTTTAAGTCTCATTTCCAAGAATGAGGAAAGGGTACATAAACCACTTTGGCAAAGCTCAGGGGATCAGAAGTTGACAAACTTCCATCTTGTAAAAGGTGGCCTGTATTGTTGCATCCACGTTTCATTTGCACTGGAGTCTCCTCCAAGGGTTTAGCTTGGAAAGATCAGTGTCTCGTCCACATCAACCCTGCCCACCTACCAAAACAACAACAACAAAATCCCAGCAAAGCTCCAATAGAACTGAACTGATTTTCTCATCCTTCAGATGTTCCTTACTGGACGCAGGAGGAAATTTTAGAAGGGCAAGGGGGAGAAAAGAAAGTACATGGCCATCCAAGCTGTACTGGCTCAGGGAATGAAGACAGGAGTCCAGGCCCCAGCACTTTCCACCTGGTACTATTTACTGACTGATCCTGCAGTTTATTTACAGGGACACTCTGACACTACACTTAGCTGGCTGGAAATTGGTACTACAAATGCATGTGCCATATTGCTGTTAAATGCTAATTTGGCAAGATTATGATTTCTTCTTCTCTGGGGCTCACAGTCCCATTGACCAGATATGGGAATGGGATATTGAAAAAGAGGGACATTCTGGGGCTCTGCTGCCACTCAACTCACGGAGTTTTTGTATTGTCCCACCGCACAGCTAGAATAACAGAATACACAACAGATCTACTGAGTTTATCCCTTGGCAGCCAGGACCAGTGAAAACTTTCTGTACGAGCTCCCTACAAGAGCTTGCTTGATTTAGTTTAATTACAACTGCAAACAGACATTTCTATTTAACGCTGCCCAAGGCTTTAGAGAGCACGAGGACAGTGCGGAAGACAAAGATGGACATATAAGGCGAGTGGATGATATGTGGAAAATATGAATAAATCTAATTGTTATTGCAGCTGCATAGACGCTCATACAAGCATCACTTGATCTAAATCTCTACATACATATCATTTCTATGTGACACTTTAAATAAGCATGCAAGAGATGCTTTTTAAAGAGACCAACTAAACCTACTTTCACAAATAAGTTTCTTTTTCATCATTGTTTCTTTTATCACAAGAATAAAATTCAAATGATTTACCTGTATTCATATAGGCAAATGTATTATTCTGTATTTTTTCTTTCTAGATGTGAATGAAAATCATTTCTTTCTCAAGAGAGACAGACTGGACATTAGAGAAGATCTTTTTCATCGTAAATCAAGTAGTTTATATACGGAACCATTCTGAAGTAATAAACCTTATGATTTAATTTACACCCAAACTTAAGTATTATCCAGCTATATATTTGAGGATGAGGCTGCTCACACGTTTTCAAGGGGGATACTAAAAGCGTCATGAATTGTTTTTTTTAGAGAGCTTTATGGAGAGTTAGGAGGACATATTTCAGAAAGCAAAGCCACTTTAACAATTGGTAGACATATGTGCATTTATATAAGTTTACACCCCCAAAAAACAGATAAAGTAGGGCTTTTTTTCTCTTCCCTTTTTCGTTGGGTTTTGACAGATGGATAAATGTAATTAGTGTGGGATTTGCATGCGACTTCATCCTCTGAAGTTTTGGATATGTTTACATATACCTTCAGGAGGAGAATAAATTAACCCGACACAAAAACCATCAACTAAAAAGTTAAATGGTGACCTGAAGAGTCTTTCCAATGACTTCCGACATGGGCAACCCACCGCGCTTCACAGTGACCTGCGCGACTCCCGAGCGGGCCACGAGCTCCCGAGCGCCAGGTCCCGGCATCCCCCGGCTCCCGGCGCAGCGGCCTCAGCGCCAGCCCCAGCAGGGCATTAGTGAGGGGTCCAGCAGGGCACGGCCGCAGCGGTGCGCCCAGGGGACGAGGAACGGGTGCGGGAGCCCACGCGCCCTCGCCCCGCGACGTCGGGTATCCCGCTGCCCCGGCGTATCTGCTCATGCATGGGGGGATTAAACACGGCGCCAAAGCTGGCCCCATCAGCCAGCTCTCAGCTACGGATGCGGCGATAACCCTCTATCTTTAACCTCAAATTAAGTCCACGCTGGTAAAGTTTTATTCTGAAAAAAATCCCTGCTTAGCACCAGCCAGTAGCACAGCATGGTGCCAGGGCCACCAGCTCCGGGCTGCAGGCAGCCTGCCTTGGGCAGGGAGATGCCCCATGCTCCAGCAAGAGAACACCTGCCACCAGAAGATCCCTCAACGTCACCAGGTCCCTCTGGGCCGTCACCAGTACACCCTGATGGTGTCACAGAATCACAGATTGATTCTGGTTGGAAAAGACCTTCAAGATCATCGAGTCCAACCGTAAACCCATCACCATGCTACCTGCTAAGCCATGTCCCCAAACACCTCAGCTACACTTCTTTAACACGGGCAGGGACAGTCACTCGACAGCCTCCCCGTGCATTCTGTTCCAATGCTTCCCCACCCTGTCCGTATAGAAATTCTTCCCAGTATCCAATCTGATATTCAGTGGGGTTGGGGAGCTTCCTCACAGCGAGCAGCAGGTGCCACGGGGCCGAGGGGGAACCAAAGAGGAAGCGGGGCCATATGGGACGGTGTGTGGGGGACCCTGCGGTAACCGGGGCTCATGCGAGGGGAGGCGGGAGGCCGAGGAGGGGACGACCCCGCCGCGAGGCGCGAAATGGCGGCCGCGCACCTGGTACTCCTGCGCCTCGGCGCCGTGCTGGTCCTGCAGGGCGAGCAGCTCCAGCTCCAGGCGCTCCCGCAGCGCGCCCAGCTCGCGGCCCTGCCGCTCCAGCTCGTCCAGG